TAAATAATTAATAATTAAATTTAATTATTAATTCTTGGTATTATCCGGAGGCGAGTCACCGGACTCATCCGAGGTACGCCCCGCGTACAGCGAAGAATGTCGACACTCGCACTCGAGGACTTCGGATGACGCATGCAGTGACGTTTCGGAGGCAGTACGCCCCGCGTACCGTACTGCGAGGCCTCAGCCTCCTATATATAGGATGCGAGGGGTCCGGGCTTAATTGCTCATTTCTCCTCCATTTTGTGCCGAAGCTCTGCATTTTAACCCCCGAAGCCCCGGTAATATTCCCGAGTCCCGAAGCAAGTCTCGAGATCCCGAAGATCCCAAGAAGTGCGGTTTCCGAGCCGAAGCTCTGCCCACGAGAAGTTCGATTTTTGTAGAGATTTTCCAGATCTGCTGAGGATTACTACTTCTACAAGCCGTAGTGTTGTCCGATCATCTTCTGATCAAGTGAGTGTGTAGTTAATTTCTTCTAACGCATAATTATGAAGTATTTTATACGAAATACGTGTTATGTGTATAATTTTGTTGTTATGTGCGTGAATGTATATTCACTCTCTTCAATCTCATAGATCTGATTTGTTTTCTATGAAATACATGTTATGTGGGTATGCCTCATCTGTTATGTGAAATATGTATTGGATGAAAATGCTATACAGGTTTTAAACTATGTATATAAATATATATTTTTATCTACTAATATGTTGGGTAGAACATGGGTAGATAGTTGGTGTGTAATAAACAGATGAGAGGCCTCTATGTTGTTAATGTTGACCTAGTTATTCAGCAGAGTATGGATAACGATCACAGACTCCTTCTAGACAGTCTCGTGGAACGCTAGCAGGTTCATAACCTGTAGGTGTTGTGAACGATGTGTTTACCGGTGTACTCTATCCCCCTCATGGTTGCCTTTAGGATATCTATTGTTGAGGAAACCCCTTAGCAGTAATGTCCGTCCCGATGAAAATCCTAGATTAGGTCCCTTGAGATAGATGTTGTTTTAGGGACGTAAAGTGAGGATAACGGGAATGGGTAATCGGGATAGTGATTGGTTGGTGAAATTAAATATAATTTATTTATTGTGGGTTGAATACCCTATATGCTCACCAGGCTCCCAAGCCTAACCCACTCAGTTTTATTTGTATTACAGGAAGTGGCGCAAGGGCGTAAGATGGATGAACCATCAAGTTGTTTTGTTTACAAGTCTGCATATGTATATATTTGTTGAATGACTTGTAATGTTATCGTTTATGCTTATTGGTCTGTATCGGAACATGACACCCCGAGTTTTGAATTATATAACGAAAATACATTTCTTTTATGAAATGCTTTGGTAAGCATTGTTTTATCATGTTTTGTTTTTGGGAACAAATTCCGCAACTCTTTCAAATCAAAAGGATTTACTCTGAAATTATTTTAAAAAGCATAAATGAAAATCGGTCTTTTTTTGGCCGTGATTTTGGGGATGTCACATGCCCTTGTTTTAGGAATGAAACATAAATCTAAATGAAGGAGTCAACTTACATTGGATTCAATCAATCCGGATCCGATCATGATGTGGGAAGACCAAACTCTCAAATTGAAGTCTCTTGCTAACATATTTTGATGGAAATAGTAGCATTCTTGTGATTGCTCTTACTTTTTCACTTCCAAGATTCTTGGATATAATATCATCATTCTGTGAAATTTGTGATGTTGCCTTGAACTCAACTTACAATGAACTGTAATTTCAGTCTTCCCGGTTAACTCAGAAACCACATCCTTTTTAACACGTCTCAGCATGAAAGACTTTAAAATGGCATACAATCTGCTTAGTTGGTGCTCGTTGAGAGTTCCACGTTATTTTGCATGGTTTTCTATGCCTCTAGAGAACCATTTGTTAAATTGTTCATTTTTTATTTTTTAACCCAATAAGCAAAATATAGTTCAATATATATCGATGGAATGCAAACGGGCAACAAGCTGCGCCGCTAGTCCTTTTTGGATGGCAAAACTAATCTTTTTGAAAACAACACCTGTGGATCCAAATAATAAAGCTTAGAAGTGTCTTCCATCTTATACCGTCAGTAGTTTCCAACAAATGGAATTGAGTATTTTACTATTTTTTTACAAGAGAATATAAACTTGTTCACAAAGCAAATGATGGACACCAAATCGTAAAATTAAAGACATAAATGAAAACTAATCTCCCTTTCTAATAAATAAATAACTTTAATCTAAACCTGCCATGTGTCGCATTCTTTACCTGCCACGTGTATGCTTAATAAACTTCCAAAAATCAACATCAATACGATTTACATGCATTTTAATATAGATAATGCATATATGATATCCCTAAAAACCAGCTATTGATTTTAATGAATTCCACTAATTAAGGGATACATTCTGGTATTTACCTTAATTATCTGATCTTCAGTTTAATTCTTATACCTATATACGCCAACCCCTTCCTTTACCAAGAATACCCCGCTAATTTTCTTTATCATCTTCATCACAGCGAGTTCAACAATTCTGTAATACAGAGTAAATAGAAATCACGTTAGTTCATATTCAATCACCATTAACCATCTTACTTTTTTCTTGCAATTGCATACTTTTATAGATGATAAAGAGAATTGTTCAAAAGGCAAATAAACATTCTACTTTGCTTTTGAAAACAATTATCACGCATGATAAATTATGATTTTTTTTCCTTTAACTTTTTTTTAAGCATGTCCTTATGTCCTTTTTTTTTTGCATTTGTCATAATATGGCATCCTACTTTGTTTTGAAGTGATTTTTTATATGATATCATTATGCTACAAAAAAATATTACTTATATCATCTTACTTTGTTTTTATTGAATCAACTGGTTTTGTATCAACGTACTTACTACTCTAACGAAACCAATTCCTAGAAAGACACATCATTTTTAAAATCGATAGATTTCAAATTGCTATGGATTTCACTATAGCGTAAGGTATTGAAGAAAGGAATTCCATTCCATTCTTCTTTTGTTTTATTAATTATACTAAAATTCCCTCATTATATGTTGACTAAAATAATGTCTGATCTTTCACATTCTTAATGAACTCTGTCACAGAACTACACAAAAAGAACTTCAATATCACATGGTAGTAGCCGCTAAACTATTGAAAATACTGTTGAGCTTCATTATTTTTTATTTACCTATCTACATGATTATGCTTTGGCTTTATCTTTTTAAGCTGAAACAATCTTGCAACCTGTCCTTTCTGCATATATGGCTGCCATCTTCACTTTGAATGTTAGATGTAGGAAATAGCAATGCACTTTGAGTTTGTTCATGATTTCCAAAATTAAACAAACACCCATTTATTATATGTAAACCCCGATTTTTACCTAAAGTATGTACCAAACCCCTTAAGTACATAAAAAATTCATTTTTTCCGAAATTACTCACAAGATCCTAATTAAAAATTGATTTATGTCAAAGCATAATCTTGAAGCTCTTGAGTCCATAAGCTTTTCATCTTCTCCAGAGAAAACCTTATTTATTTACCTATTCTTAGTCGTCGTCGACACTTCATTCTTGAATATCCAACATTACCGCCAATAAGTTGCAAAATCAGATCACAAGGGAAGCCTATGCGCCATTTTTGCTTCGTAACTCTTTGAAGGGAGTTCGATCTCATTGCCGGCATGATTTCTTCGTCTTAATTTCTCACCTGAAAGGTGTAGATTTCAATATCACTCTATGAATGAAATTCCTAAATCTAACATACAGTTTAGTCCCTGTAATTTTTAGGTTATATTATTTTATTCCCTCTCTTTTATTGATTTTTAAGCAATAGGAATGTAGTTGTTTCTAGCGAAGTCACCTTAACAATGCTTTTTCCTATATGTTAATTTAGAATAAATTATTTTAAGTTCAACCATAACTAAGTTTTTAGTCTGTATTTAGCAAGTATAATTTGGATGGTTTTTATAAATAGACTACTAAAATAACATTTCGTGGTTAGGTAAGATCATATTAATTTTATGTGAACCACAAATATGTTTTTAATATTTATTTAACAAAAAAATCCTTCTTAATATAAAATTTTGTTTAAAACATTGCTATGATTCATCACTTGTGATATGACCAACAACAATTCAAATTTTAAATAACTAATTACTTACAAATAATAATAAATTAATTGATAGTTATCAATACAAAGTACATTCATATAATATATTTTTTACATAAATAAATATAAACATTTATGTGATCTACACAATAGGCTATACAAGTATCTTTTAATGGTAGTGGTAAACAAATTGACTTACGAACCAATTAAAAAACATTACAGATGTTTACACAACTTAGATAAAAAAAAAATTAAACATGATTACCAAAAAATACCAAACTTAAATAAATTAACAAAATCTCATTAGTATGATATTCTATTGCATATTCTTTCATTTTTATAATAAAAAGATGATTCATTATAATATAAGATATTTTAATTTTAATTTTTTTTATTAAATACTACTGTTTTGCATATTCATAAAACTTCATTAATGCTAATGAGAGGAGAAAAATTCAAAAATTATATTTGGATAAAATAAAATTCCAAAAATATCCATTGATACCTCAAAATTCATATATTATACATTTTCAAAACATGTGTATTGAAACAGTAGTCCTAACGGCAAGAAATATCAAACATTGTTGTTTTATTTCAGGATTGTCTTTAACACTTTCAGACACAAAGTTTTCATTCAAATTCAAAAGAATACAATATTTCTTAGCTGTTTGTTTTGTTATGACTATAAATGAAAGTTAATCCCAATCATTGTTAAATATATGTTTGTTTTTGCAAGAACATTGATCACACACGGGCAATTATGTCATTGCTTTATCCAAAGTATAAAGTAGAAAAAGATTGAAGTTGTTAATTTTAGATAAATAGGATAATTCGACTAAAAAAAACTTCCAATGTAATATACAAAGAAATATTTCAAAATATATGTTCAACTATTATTTTACTTTTCACATTATTTAATGTTTTCTTACAATAAATATTATGCTATATTTTTTGTTGATATATTTTGTTTTTGTCTTTATAATAACTATAAAAATATCAACCGTGGTATAACCTAGTTAAATGAATGATTTAAAGATACAAATAATAAAGGTACACGTGTTTAGTAAGACCAAGCATCAAGGACTAAACTTGATCAATTGCCAAATAATTAAATTAAAGACAATTCCAATGAACTGAATACTCGCACTCCAAGCACTTGAAGATCATATCGTACTGTAATTCTTTGGTGCACTTTTTGCACAGACCATGGGACTGAATCCCTTGAAGAAAGGATAGCCGATGTGGGTGAAGTCTTTTGATCTCAACTGTTCCTCCAAACTTGACATTGAGATAACGAAAGACGCGTCTTCTATACTTTTTTTCATATACATGTTGCTCACACCCAAGGATTAAGGGTGCACAAGCAGGATGCATAGACTGGGCACAACAACTACAATGATAGAACCACTTGTTAGGGTCAAATATGTCCTCACAAATTTCACAGAAGTAGTCGCTGGGGTGGTTCTCAACTGGATTGTATCTTAGGCTCAATGGATGCTTATCGAACTGGTGCCTCATCACTCCAGGCAACAAGAAAGCACACTCCGTATCCAAGTAGAAATCACAGGAGGGGCAATGGAAAGCGATATTGCAATTTTTCAGGTAACACTTACATGAATTGCAATATATTTTTGATAAATCAGCTGGAGAAGCATTGATTCTTGAGAGGAGATGGCCTGGGTGAGCTTCATGTGTGATTTCTTTAGGTAGGAATGCACAATTGATATCCACATAATACTTACATGCAGTGCATCCATATGCAAAACCATTACAAAATAAAAGACAAATGTCACAGTAAAATAAACCCAATAATTGACGAGGGTTGTTTGACATGAGAACAAGTGCATGCTGTGGATGGCCCGGGTGGTCATGTATTTTGGAAGGTAGCCTGGCACACCACTCATGAAGAACAAAACCACAACTACTTATTTCAGAACACTTGTAAAATGGCATTTCCGTAATTGGTTTCAAACATCCGTCACATAATACTTGAACTTTCTTCATGGGGCTGTGAAGAACAATTAGTACTGATGTTTGTTGTGTGTGTGTGTCTAAAAGAATCAGTGGGTGTTTATGGCTAAAATGGTTGAGCATTTCTCCGCCATGCTCTTCTTCTTTAATCATAGTAATAAACTCTTTCTTATTATTTAAAAAATAGTGTCTGAGAAGGTTGTAACTTTCATCCGGAAAGGGACAATGGAGAAGATTAGGATAATCGTCGTCTTTGAAATTTTTGTAAGTCTTGCCACCACCTGATAAGATAAATGGCAGTCATTGAAAAATAACAAACCAAATTATAAAGTAAAACAAAATAAAGAGAAGAATAAACAAGTTATATATAAGATTACCTGGATGTAAGAAGATTGACATAAATGGCTCTCTCATTGAAGTCGCACAATTAATATGGGCATAGTATTGACATTTATCGCATTTGTAAAGCCAAAAGTAACTATCGAAGTACTTCTTACAAACTCTGCATGTAGGATAGTACTTAGCTACTATATCAATTACAGGAAAGGAATAGGCAAGGGTAAGTGGATGAGAATGAGTGAAAGTGGCATCAGTATGTTGTTGGATGAGTAACTTTGCAGGCAACAAAGCACAATCTAAGTGGATGGAGTACCAAGAACAAGTGGTGCAGTGGTAGAAGGTCCCTTGATGTTTTTCGCCACAAGCACTGCAACGTGATACCAACTCCTTGGCCATACGTTGCAGTTGGTGAGGGTGGCTTGGGTGGTCCATCTTTTGTTGAGACATAGTAGCACATATTATGTCCATATTGATTTTGCAAATGTCACACGTGTAATGGAATAATTCCTTTTGCATAAGATTGCAGACACTGCATGTCCATTCTATTAATTTTGGATCATGTGTCCAAAAGAATCCTTTAGACAAGGTAAGATTATGGTAGGGATGGGGATCATGTGATGGGTGGTTTTGTAGGGTTTTTGGCATTTCTGCACAAAATTGGTGCAACAAGTAGTCATCATGACAATCCTTACACTTGTAGTAACTCATATGGAATGAGTAGATCCCTTCCTTACACATTTTGCACTGTCCAACATGTTTCTCTTCAGCCACAAAATCCTCCTCCTCACCTTCTTCTTTCTCTTCTTCATCATCATCATCAGAGTTTTCATTATCATGGCTAGCAGGTTGCAAACGAACAAGGCTGAGCATATGCTCATGAGTGAAGTGCAAAAGCTCCTCCATTGTAGGTAGCTATGTCAATGATATCACTAGCTACCACAAAGAAACATATATATATATATATATATATATATATATATATATATATATATATATATATATAAACATGAAGCTTTACACCATTGTAACAAAAATAAAAATACTCATATTAGATCCAACATATGTAAACTTAAAATAAAGCATTCATAAATCACAAATCATCAAATACATAATCAAACCATTTTTTTTTTCTTAGTAAATTCAGTCTTTGTAAACTTTTATAAAATCCATAATTAAATATCGCAATATGTGTCCTAGTAATATACAAAATAACTCTATAACAATCTATATTTTATTCTAAACGGTTTATTAATCTTTGGATTCATAATACTCCAACAAAGATGTCATGACAAATTCACAAAAAAGTTGTCAACATTTATGTTTTTAGCCAAACATTCTCTTGATGTACATTTTGATTTCTAATAAGCACACTATCTTTGTCAATTATCCAAACAAAATATATTTGTTAACCTGAAAAATGAAATAAAAAGTGACATACCTCTTGTATCGCACAAACGACGAACTGAATATAAAAGTTGCAAAGGAACTTATATTTTGACAGTAAGATGGGAAAGAAATTGACCATTAAAAGACAACGAAAAAGAATTTGTTTGATTACACGCAAAGAACTAACCTTTATTTACAAAATCTTTGCTTTGATTTTCCAATACAAAGTTGTTTCTTATTCTATTCTTGGATTGCATGGAAAGCAAATTAAAATTGTAATATTCCCTCATCTTTATTTGAGAATAATTCATTCATACAAAAGACATTCTCTATCAATATACTTGTTTGTTAAATGGAATCATGGAAACAACTAATCGCATTAACAGGACATCTAATAGCTAACAATGTATATGTTGTGTGCCATCTCAGTAAACCGAAAGGCAATTTACTGATAATAGCAACGTAACTTACCTTTTCTTTTACCAATATATAGGCAATGTACTTTATTTTCTACCCATTTTAGCAACACATTGATACTAGAATATGTAAGTCAGAATAGCAACATGCTTACATTTCGCTATCAATATAAGCAACATGCTTTTCCCTGTAGGCAAGGCTATTTCAATCCTGTATTTGATCCTAGACTGCTCTTCATGCCTAATCTGACATACCATTAAACGCAAAACCAGGACTTGTCAAACTCTTGTATTATTTTGTGCCTTGTATCTCTTCTCTTGTAGTTATAGACATGCTAATGCTAGCTAGGCATGGCTCTGAATCGTGGTCTTCATCACTACTATACACGTTATATTTATTTCGTCTCCTTTTCTTTTCAGACATCATTCCATTACTATGGTCTGCTTCCCCACTTGTTGATTACCAAATCATTAACTTCAATACTAGGTATAATAGTCCTTCCAATGGATACACCAAGTATTACTACTATTGGCATAATAATCAAACTCATCTTCTGCTCGTGGTAGTTGAAAGTTCGTCAAAGACTAAAAATAAACCCAACAAATAACTCGCATTATTTTGTGGTAATACCAAAATTAAAATCTTGGTAAACCCTAGACACGAGTGATGTGAATCTACAAATCAACAATCAAATAGAAGAAAACGTAAATTTAATTGCAAAACAAGCGAACATAATTTACGCATCCAAACCTCAAGATTGAAGAGATTTCCTTAGCTGCGTATGCGGGTCCATAGTATCTCGTGGTTCGAAACGAGGAAAGATGAAAACCCCTAGGTTCATGAATAGAAGGATTGATGGTGAAGAAGATGTAATCGAGTATTTACTGGTGGCATGAAGAAAGAACGGGCATGTAGTCGTTGGAGGAACCGCGGAAGAGATAAGGAGGTGATGGCGCAGAGGGTAAGGAAGTTCCCAGGCGAACAGCGATTTGCGCGAATGGTTTAACCTCCGGTTGCTAACATGAACCCATTTGGGTTGGGAGGAGGGGGATTGTTGAACGGCTAATTTGCGCTACAACGGTTTCCTTTGACTCTGTTGTTTTTTCGGTGAGACGCATGAAAACCTGGTAGAGATTTACACCCCGTTCCCGAGTTGTAGCAAAGAAAAGTTGTAGCAAAGAAAAGAAGAGAAGAGAAAAGAAAGTAAGGAGAGAAAAGAAGAGAAGAGAAAGGAAAAGAAATTTGTCTTTTGTGTTCCCGAGTTGGAGAGAAATGGAAGGAAAGTTAAACATTTTGTTCTTTCTCTCCAAATCCTTCCAAATCGGAAGGAAAGTTAGGAGGGAAAGTGATCCCTCCATTTCCTTCCACTTCTCTCCTTTAATGAAACCCGGGAACACAAAATTCTCTTACTTTCCTCTCACTTCCACTCATTTCCTTTCTTTTCTCTTCTTAAATTGAACTCAGGAACGGGGTGTTAGGTTCATTAAAGTCAAATGTTTGAAACTTAGTTTTAAAAATATATATTTTTTTACAGATTTATTCGGTATGATCGAACATTTATGTCAAAATTAACGGTTTTAATGAACCAAAAAAATCAAACTTAAAGGCTTTTATGAAAAAAAAAAAAAAATAACATCAAACATTTTTATCAAACATAAAGGCTTTTTAACGAACTAAAAATACACAAAAGGGTAAAACTGAAAAAAGAAAAATACCAAACATTCAATTTTAGTGAACCTAAAATCCGCAAAAACATAAATTCATACATTTCTGTCAAATTTAAAAAAAAAATTATATCACTATCCATTTTCTAGTGATAGCAAAAAGTATCTAGTATCATCACGCTTGCGATATCATAAAATTACCTCTATGTACACATATTTAACAAAAAAAAATATAGAAAAATAAAAGTTTGATTACCTCCACGTACTCCCATGTATGCTAGCATATGTTGGATGATACCAACATTCCCTTAAGCACTTTATCCCTTAAGACCTTTTGTCTAGAGCTTAGATTTAGATTCAAAACATCGACTTATGTCATGAAGTTTCCATATTTATGACTTTTCATGGCTAGAAAATGTCCAAAAGCTAAAACTATAACTTATTTATCCATTAAGACATGTTAACTCTTGCATGGAAAGGATAGAATAACCAACATCACATTTTTATGGTTCCTAAAAGTTCCATAATGGATAAAATTTCCAATTTTATCCATTAAGAAAGGTATGTAATTGCAATCCATTGGGTGTCCTATTTGTGGTACAGGATGCGAATCTGCCAATCATGTTTTTTCAACTGTGGAGAGGAAAGGGTGGTATGATCATTAGTTCCTCAATGGTGTGGTTTGACATTCCCTAATTCATCCTCCATTAAATAATGGTTGTCATGGGTGGATGATCAAAATATTTGCCGTGTTAACAGGGATCAGTTAGAAGTGATAGTAATTACAGCGTGTTGGGTTATTTGGAGATTTCGCAATTCAGATGTTATTATGGGGTTCAAATCAGCAAAAGTTCATTGTTTGATAATATTTTTTTGAAGTCGTTTTATTGGTTAAAGTTTCGAGATTCCAAATCCGTTGTTAATTGGAATGCTTGGCTTTTGAACCTTTGTAATTTTATTCTTATTCTTTTCTAGCAAATTGCTAGAACTCTGAATATATGACATGGTAGTTGTTCAAAAAACAAAGTTATCATATATGAAGCGCCTATTTAGGGTGGTTGGAATGGATTCAGGTTGACTTCCCACACTGACTAAGGTGTTACTCCGACATCGGAGGAAACACTATCCCCACTACTAGTACAAAAAAAATGTTCTTGGGCAGGTTCTACAAACCAACCGAGTTGGCTTGGACGCAAATATGGAAAAAGGGGAAGTGGGTTGGAAGGGAGTGGCTTCGGAGGGAACACGACTCTTCCCTTTTCAAACCTCCGGCATCAAAGTGAGGCACGAAATGGATCTCATCCACCCTTATAATCTTAAGGAGATAAGATAAAAATGACAACAACAAAGTAATTCTAAATCTCAATGCAATACATAATCTAATACCAAGAAGAATGTAATAAAAGGAAACTAACTATATACCAACATTCTGTTTAATTGATATGCTAGCCTATCAATAAGCTATCTCAATGTAGCTTATAAACTATTTTATGAGTTACGATAAGCTACTTTTATGGTCTACCAAACCCTAAATTACAATAAACTACTTTATTTATGCCAAACAGACCCAAGAATAACTACCATGACATAATGTCATCGATATTAGAACACGATGGATTTATGGTAAGAAATTAGAAAAAAGATAAATCAAGGGCATTTAGGGCCTCCTCTTTTTGTTTTCCAATCATTGTAACATGGACATAATTGTTTGTTCCCATAGGTCCCTGGAGGTACACACAAGCATGTGGCACAACACTTCTGGCAAAAGAACATGCATGGCTTCTTGAAAGCAGTTTTTGAGCACCTACTCGTGCATCTTGGTGCACATTCTACATCACAATCAAACATACCCAAAATAATCATTGTGTCGTTATATAATAATATATTAAAAATATGGAATCAAAACTCATGATGTCACGTCCTAACATGTTCAAATTTCAATATGCGAGGGCAAATATGAACAAATAATTTATTGGTTTTTGTATGTATTGGAAAAAAGATTTGATACACACCTCTAGGTTGAAGGCTGCCTGGAGTTGCCCCATACTGCAATTGATCATTAGATGAAGAAGATGTTAAAACAAGTGTTTATTAGTTTGATGTTAAGTGTGGAATTCGAGGAAACAAAATGTACCATGGTAACATTTCCTGGTGATTGTGGCTGAGGTGCCGGAGATGGTGAGAACATTAATTTTGCCTAAACCATAAAACCATAGTATATACAATTACACTTAACCATCTTAGTAGTATAATGATCAAAGAAAACATTTTTCATAGGAGTCTAATCACTGGTGCTTGTTTATGTGAAAATGTTTCACATTTGTCTATTTTATGCAAGAAACTGGTTTTATATAGGTTTGTTTGACATTTTTGCTTTAAATTGGTAAAAATAAGAATACATAAAGTAATTTAATCAATTTTTTTTCTATCTTATTC